AAATGCATAATATTTAAGTTGATAGTTGAACAATTTTTTTTTTGTCTATAAAAAATATATTTGCGCCTGTCAACTTATTGAAGAATTATTTGATTTCTTAATATCATTCCTTATAAAGTAGAACTCAAACAAAATACAAAACAAGGAAGAGATGGACCAGGATGATCTAAAAAATAATCTTAAATAGGGTAAGCGATTTATTTATAAATACTGCATTCTATTTATATCGATTTTTACTTTATGTTATCAATTTCTTATATATTAAATTGCTATTATTCAATTTATTTATATTTTCTGTAAATATGGTGTAAATGTGCCCTTTCATCACTTACCACTCGGCCTGATTGGAACAGAATCTAATATCACTCAATAATAAAAAATAATAAAAAAATGTTTATTTATTTAATAAATGTTTACTTTAAATAACTAAGTAATATTGGGAGACATGAGACTTATCAGTACATTATTCCTGCAGATTTAAATCTAACGTTCAAAGTTTTTTGAAACATTGAAATGTTTAATTAATTAATTGCCCAAAGTCAGACATTTTCGAGTTAAAATTGTTTCTTTGGTGTAATTATATAAGTTCATACGAAATAAAACATAATCCTTTGTTTAGAGCAAATTGTCTCTTGAGAATATCATCAAAGCACAATTAATAGTATCATGCCAGAGAAGTCTGTAAATTATAACATTAATTATTACAAATAATAAATATGTACTTAGTCATATTTTATTGTAACGAATTTTTTATATATGGAGAATTATTTTTTATACTACTGTTTCTTTAGAATATAACAGATTTCTTAGTGAATGAGAAACCAAGATGATGAAAACTAATAAAACTAAAATCTATATCAGAAGTCCAAACAAATAAATAACAGTTGTAATAATAAAATGTTTATCATTATTATAAAATAGTAATAATAATAATAAAAGGCTCAGCGAACCCGAAGGTTCGATACCGACCCCACCAATCGCTTATTACACACCTCCCTCCACCGTTCGCCGTCCAAACCCAGTCCCTTCAGATCGGCTTTAATGCAATCTTCCCACCTTCGCTTCGGTCTACCCCTCGGACGCTTACCATTCGGCACAGCAAATATTAACCTTTTAGGAATTCTCTCGTTACTAAGCCCAACAACTTTACAAGCCCATTTGATTCGCCGCGATGAAATTACCTCAATTATATTACCCGGATACAGTTCACGCAATTCGGCGTTGTGTAACTGTCTGAACTCCCCGGTTAACTCATCCTTCTTCGGTCCGAATATTCTACGCAATACTTTATTTTCAAAAACCTTAAGACGCTGCTCATCCCTTAATGTAAGCGGCCAAGTTTCGCATCCATAAAGAACTGTAGGCAAGATAACTGTTTTATAGATTCTAATTTTTAAGTTCCGGGACAAGAGGCGCGAACTAAGTAGTTTTGTCACAGAAAAATAACAAGCATTTCCCGCCTTCAGTCTAACCTTAATCTCTTCTTCAATTTCGTTTTTTCTAGTTATCGTAGAACCTAGATACCTAAATTTATCTACCTGTTCAAACATATTACCATCTATATCGATATCACCAGTAGTATCGCCATTTTTGCAGCTAACCATATATTTTGTTTTATCCACGTTTATTTCGCGTCCTAGTTCTTTACCGGCTTTCATTAACGTTGTCGTATTTAGTTTTATAGTTTCAACGTCTTCGCTTAACAGTACCAGATCATCAGCATAGCCCAGCACGGATATTGTCCCGCCCAGATCCAACCCTTTCTCGGTACGCATTACCTCCCTAATGGCATGTTCTAATGCCAAATTGAACAGGACAGGCGAAAGGGAATCACCCTGTTTTAAACCCGACCGAACCTCAAATTTTTCGGACAGATTATTTTAAAAAACTGAATTATTAAAAAATACTAACAAAACGATTTGTTATTTTTTGTTATTTGCATTTCTAAATATGTATACTATTTTTGACAATTAATTAAAATATTTAAAATATTTTAAAATACTTTATAATGATCGCATTTCTAGATCAAGGAAAAATTATCTTTCTTAAACCTTTTAGAACTGTTAAGATAAAAAAAAAAAAAAAAAAACCTATGTTAATAGTAAACCATAGTGCTATAGAATAATTAATAGCATTGGTTTTGTTTTAATCATAATATTGACAAGAAGTATACGTCAATCCAGATAAGACTTTTTTTGGTGATTGTAAATCGAAACATCTTGAGGATATGTCTCACCTTTCTAAGGATGTTGAGAAATTATCGATAAAATACTAATGTAAGACCTAAAAGTATAAAATTTCCAATTAAATATAGGTTAATCTATAATGAATGAACTTTCACTATTTCTTGAGAAGGAGTTAATTGGGGGATGCGGTCAAATAAATACTAAATTAAAATATAGTAATTATTTAATTTTTGCCGACGTTTCGACCCACTTTGCAGGTCGTCTTCAGCGCTACAAAAGATACAAAACATGTTGAAAATAAACAAAAAAAAAATCTATTTATATTTATTTTTTATTTTCAACATGTTTTGTATCTTTTGTAGCCCTGAAGACGACGTTCAAAGTGGATGGAAACGTCGGCAAAAATTAAATAATTACTATATTTTAATTTAGTATTTATTTGACCGCACCTCCCTCCCCTCCTCCCCCCCCCATTAACTCCTCAAATTATATCAACGGTCAACCGTCTCTACATCATTACTTCACTATTTTTAATAATTATCAGTCTCAACCTATAAATAAATCCCAGAGTGAAATCTTAAATCTCAATATATTCCATAAAAATTGAATATTTAATAGTTGACCGTTGCATTATAAAGGAAGGAGATGGTCAGGGGTGGCGGTAATAAATAGAAAATAGAAACTATTTATGACAACCACCCCGGACCATTTCCTTCATTTATTTCATAAAAAACATCAACTTTCATGTAAACTTAAAGCTTATAGAACAAAAAAAAAGATCCTTAAAGTGGAGTAACTGGACTTGAGTTAGAGAGTGATATAAAAAAAATCACGAATATTCAATGATTTTATGAAATATAATTATCCCAAATGCGAGACCAAGGTGAATCTTGGTCTTCCATAATCAGTCTTGGTCTTGCGTAAGAGTCTCGCAATAGTCTTACAATTTTATCTATTAGCTTATTTCTATAGAGATATTACTGTAATTTTTTAGATAGAAGAAACCTAACTAGGCCCAAATAAAAAATTAGAAGAGATAAATGCAAAAGTATATTGGTTATACCAATTCTTCATATAGTAACTAAAATTGTCAAGTATTAGTAACTATTTCGCCTTAATTTTTATTCAAATTTTTTTTTCGTTTTAAAAAAGATTTTGTTTTAACTAGCCTTGCTCTTCGTCTTGCAACAAGTTAGGTTTAAAGCAATGTGCAAGACCAAGACCGATTTTGGGCAACACTAATGAAAAATATAACAGCGTACTTTAACCTCTTAAAATTCCTGTTTCAAAGACAAAATCTACTTGCATTTAAGTTAAATTATGTCTGGTTTACTAGAAAACAAGTGTTAATCACCGAAATTAAATATTTTTTTAGTTATCTCTTTCAATTCAACAAAAGCAGTGACTTTCTTAAAAAATCCACAAAATTTATATTTTTTGCGGTAAAAATCGGACTATTGTTTATATGAACATTTTTGTAGCACTCGAAGCCTGTTATCACTTTTATAATAATTTCCCTCTACTTACGGGACACCCTGTATAACATATTTGTTTATATTAAACACAGATGAGATGGGAGGCAGCCTTCGTAGCACTGATACATTTCTAGAACCTTTTCAGCAAAAATGAATAATGAAAAAATTAATAAATGATTAATGTAAATATTTACGATATCAAATAAAAATACATCGTTTTTCACAGTCCAACTAGTTTGCTGCGAAAAATATTATAAGAGTTTCAGGTGAAAGTGAGGGTTGATTGAATCATAAAGTCCTAGTATATATTGATATATATCTTTGAATATAAATGACAAATCAAATAAAAGTATTAGACTGCTACCAATGGGTGGATTCTCTACAAGCCTTGTCATGTCATGTATTTATCTGTATCACATTTGCTGAATGAATATTAAATGTAAAGTTGTAAATTTCATAAATAATAATGAAAAATAAAAAAAATGATGCGCCCCCCTCGCCCCTCCTGAAGTATGCGCCTATGCCTTGAACACTATTACATGATTAGTGTTGCCCAAAATCAGTCTTGTTCTCGCACTTTGCAAGACCAAGACCAAGGCCGCCTAACTGTTGCAAAACCAAAACCAGGACTGTTAAAAGAAATCGAATTTTTTAATGAAAATTACGACAAAATACTTGACAATCTTAGTTATTATCTGTTAATAATTTGTATAACCAATATACTTTTGCATTTAACTCCTCTAATTTTTCATTCGGGCTTAGTTATATTTCTCCAATCCAAAAAATTACAGTAATATCTCTATAGCAATAAGCTGATAAGTAACTGCAAGACTGTTATGAGACTCTTACGCAAGACCAAGACTCGTCTCGGTCTCGCATTTGGGCAACAGTACCTTGGGTACATATTTACGAACATGCCAATTTATAATGTTTTAGAAACTGAATGGATATGAATTGATTGAATAGACGGGATGTAAATGTGGGGAGATCAGAACATTGTGAAGACGTGCACAATAATGCACACATAATTAATTTCGATATCCAATACTGTTGTACATTTCCCCAATAAATGAATCTGTGTATAATAGGTATTTATTTATATATGTATTTATGGAAGATTGAGAAATCAACTTTACAAAAAATTTTAAGGCAAATTAAATATTTAAAATATCCATTAATGAGAGAGCAGAGATAAATATTGGGGTTGGACTGTTTGTTTGTTGTTAACCTCACCGACTAACCTTCGTGGCGGAGCTGCTGACTGGATACTCCAAGAGCCTTGCACCGTCCGCAACCTTGCGTCCAGCACTGTCATCTTTCGGAATATTATTTATTGAGAATGGATCCCAAATCCTTCCAGTGTTCCAGCAAATTATCGGTTATGTTCGTTCTGTACTTCTTAGGTGCGGTCTTTGCGGCCAGCGGCAACATCATCAAGGAAGCCGGCCAGTCGAAGGCTCATACTATACGTAAGGTTTAATTCATTTTCCATTAAAATGTAATACGATATACGATATTCTATTAAAATATTCTACGCGATAATAATTTTAAAAAAGAAAATCTGAATCTTATTCGGCTTCACACAATCTTAATTTATTACTCTACTTTAAGTAGAAATTTATTTCTGTTTATTATCAGATCTAAAGTTTTTAAACTAAAATAAATTTACTATCATATATTTTCCTCATTCTTTCATCACTATTAAGTCAACTCCATACAATTATAGTTCGTGCTACAAGTAACTTTTTATCAAATTATTAACATCCGTCTGAAACTTCGTGAATAGCTTCATCTCATGGTAACCTACAACTATTTCATCTACGAAAACTCTTGGAATAAGGGCGTTTTCAATCTGGAGATCGGAAAACTGTCTATTTAATTTACGTACTAAAAACTCGTAAATACCCATTAGATCGTAATACAACTTGATTACGAAATTGACAAAAAAGTTGCGTACAAAAAGGTTGGGCCGTTTTGTGTCCCCTTCATCATACGATTCGAGTGGAAAATAAATCGGTATTTGCGAGTTTTTAGTACCTAATTGCAGTACTTTGCAGTCTCCAGATTGAAAACGCCTCAATACCGAGAATTTGCTTAAATAAAATAGTTTTAGGTTACGATGAGATAAAGCTATTTATTTACGAAGTTTCAGGCGGATGTTAATAATTTGATGAAATGGACTAATTAATGTGTCTCAAAAATCAAAATAAAGTATATATTTTTTTAATAACAGCAGTGAAATGATTCTATCCAATCCAATATTGGGCTTGCAATGTTGAAAATAATTTTTAAAACTTTGCATATGATTTCTATAGACATTAATTATGTTATAATCAATTTATACAAACATTTTTCTACAATTTCACCTTCTACGACAATATATGTGGGATATTTATTTCTATAAAATGTTTAGCTAATAACGTTTTATTATATCATAACTAGACCTAAACAAAATCATTTTAATTAGTATTTTAAAACACAGTATTTAAAATACCAAGTTTGTTTGGACATAAAAGCGTACGTAAAACTTCAAGGTCATCAACGTCTGTATATTAATTTTGTTTATATCTGAATTAAATTTTTAAAAGATTTTATTTTCTATTTAATAAATGTAAAAATATGAAGTATTTTTGTTTTTAAAATACAGCGTATTTTAATTATAATGCATTACAATTGCTTTAAGGTATTTCATATACAAAATACCAAAAAAAAATTTTTTTAATTACCAAAACCAAAATATAAAATACTTTCTGGTTAATCCTCATCTATGATAGAGGGAACCTACTATATTTGATTATTTATTTTGTGTGTTTAAAATAGTGATATCCAAGATGAAATATAGTATTTCAATATTTATTTATTATTTATTTATTTATTAACAGCAAGATATTTATCTCAATATTTCAGCATGGAGTATTAGAACTCAATAATTCTTTCTTTCAGTATTTAAAACCAAAATCTATTAGATATAAAAAGTAACTTTTTATTGATGCAATCTCGGCCCAAACTAAGACCCGATAAACAGATGAATTGCTAATTTCAAAGCCCATAAAATTGTAATTACCAAATTGAGAACTATTAATTGACTTATAAAGTAACAACCATATTTCAGTTTAAACCATATTTCACAAACATAACATTTTTCATTCATATGGAATTGAAAATTTCGATTATGAAACATATACATAAGCAATATAAAAAGCCTTCTTAATCTAATGTACTTTAAATAAAAAAATTAAAATAATAAATTAATTAAGTAAATAATTTACAAAATAAACACGAAGAGCATAAAGATGGCATTGTAGATGATTAAAATATTTTAGATTCCATATAATCTGAATGTTTTTAAAGTAGTACCAACAAATAAATATTTTATTTCATTTTTTTTTATTTATCAGATAAAAAATAATATTATCTGATAAGCGTCGAACATTATTAAAATAAATTCTTCTTTCTAAAAAAGGTTTTCTAATCATTTTGTAAATACATAAATAACATACAGTTTTTATATATAATAAGGTTTATATGTACATTATTTATTTAAGAACTCACAAGCGTTTCATAATAAACCCAATTCAAGGGCGTCAATAGTAAAAAACATCAGTTTTTTTTTTTTTTTTACTTTTCCTAGCATGTAGCAAGCATTAAATATCAAATATATTATCAGATAAATACATAAATAACATACAATTTTTATAGATAATTATTTATTAACATATTTTTAAGGATTCTTTTAATATAATATTGATATTTTCTATAGTAAAAATTATATGATGTATATATATTTAAATGTTGTTCCTACTTAAATTGAGATTAATATATTCACTTTGAACGAAAATTTCAAAAGTAATTGCAAATATGATGAAAGTTAATATTATAAAACAAAATTTAAAAAAAAAATACTTTTTTTCGAAATAAAGTACAGATACATTAAACAAATAAATAATTATTAGAAAAAAACAAACAAAACATATTACACCGAAAAAACTTGTATCTATGGATGTAAGATAAACTAATAGGTCTGTGTAACGTTAATGTATTGATAAATGGGACTAAAATATACCTAGATATGTACCCATATATATATATATATGTAGAATACACAATTTAAAAAAAATAATATTGTTAATACATTTTTGTTTCAGCAAGTTTCATCAAAATATGCCACCGAGACGATCCTCTCTTGGACGAATGTGTCAAGGAGTCTGTAGAAGAAATTAGGCCATATTTGAAAGAAGGTACTATTAATTCGTTTTAATTTTATTAATATTTACAATTTATAAATCCTTCAAGGCGTTTCTTTAAATGATATTAATTTCATTGACAATAGTAAATGCAGGAATAAATGATATTCTTGTGGATGAAGGCAATTCAAGATATATATCATGGTGTTCTATTAAGACAAAAGTGTGCAATATTACTGAAACGGGCATCTGGAACATTCACACTAAATTAAAAAAACAAGAACTGACCATACAATGCAAACAACTGTCACATATTTTAGACTACAGATCTCCACTCAACTTACTAAACAAGCGACTAATCTACACCTCCATAATAAGACCTATTTGGACATACGGAGCAGAACTTTGGGATTCCGCAAAACACACATACATAAACAAATTCAAACCACACAATTCAAAATCGTCAATGCTTCTTGGTTAATTTCAAATCACACCATACACACACACAGACATGATCGTACCAAAAGTAAAATTCTACATACACAACAAGTACACAACATTTCATTCTTCAACTCTCAATCATTAAAATCCACTCGTTCTATCTTAATATTTCTCCCTGTTACCTGGTGAGCATCAACTAAAAAGGCAGTAGCCTAGAGATCTTCTGCTGACAAGTTAAGCAAGTATCAACGATATAAGAAGATAAAATAAACTCCAACACATTTGCTTAATGCGTTACAACGCAGTGACAAATTTAATAGAAAATAAAATAAAAATCAAGAGATGTCAGACCAGGTGCTAGTAAAACTGCCTTTCTATACCGTAAGGCCGAAAATCATTGGGAGTGATCTTAGAAACAAATTAACCTTAATACCAATAGTTATCATTACATGAATCATCCGCACCCTCACAATTATACAAAACGGATATTACATTCTATTCGGAGTGTTAACTATTGAAGGTGGGACAAGTAAATTCAGAACATTCACCGTTAATGTCTCAGTTCTCATTATAGGACCTTTTCTTAGTTCTAAAGATAAACAAAAATATATTTTAAAAATCTATGTTCGTGGATACTGAAGAGAGTTTCTTCGTATGGTTACCTCAGAATCACTGACGGTCTTTATTTTAGGCATCTTGAGATTTTTCAAAAACTTTTCCGATCAGAACAATGGGTTTTATAACCTTCTATTGTATAATAATGTCAGGAAATAATTTATGTATTTCTTCACAATTAATACATCTGACAAATATTTCGTGCCCGAAACGCACTGTTAACTTTTCTAATTTTGACAATATTTCTTTAGGTTTCTATTAAAAAAATGTAGCATCCAACCAAAGTTCGTATTTGATTATATTAATTGTCGTGTATGAATATTAAAACTCCTAGTAATAATAGCAGATTATAAAACAATAATCTGGTACACGAATTGTGATAGTTCATGTTTCAGATTAAAGTTCATTCGATTTCGATAAAATTAACATTGTGATTGGATGCCGTTCTTAAAAAAAAAATCCTTCAAGATTTCAAGCAGATCACGAAGAAGGCCTATGATAAATTCAATATTAATGACCTCTATCCAACTTTTATTTTTATTTCAAAAATGTTCCATCATTATGTAGGGATCATCCTACTTTTCAGATAATTTCGTTGACTTGAAGAGAAACAAATATTAACTGAACCAGGTGGGAATATAAACTAAAATAGTGTTGCCCAAAATCGGTCTTGGTCATGCGCTTTGCAAGACCTTAATTTTTATTCGAAAAATAGATTTTTATTTACCAGCCTTACCAGCACTTTGCAAGATCGAGACCAAGACCGCCTAACTGTTGCAAGACCAGGACCAAGGCTGGTAAATAAAAATTGATTTTTTGAATAAAAATTTAGGCAAACTTGTTACGAATACTTGAGAGTTTTAGTTAATGTATGTAAAGAATTGGTACAACCAATATATTTTTGCTTCTAATTATTCATTGGGGCATAGCTAAGTTGCTTCTATTTAAAAAAATACAGTAATATATCTACAGTAATAAGCTCATAGGTAACTAATAGACTGTAGCAAGACTCTTGCGCAAGACCAAGACCAAGCCCAAGACTGGGTGCGCAAACCAAGACTCGTCTTGGTCTCGCATTTGGGCAACATTAATCACAACGTTCAAAACTGGGCACCCTGGGACCCTCGTCTCTACGTCCATCATTTCATTTAGTTCCAAACTGTGTATTTTTACTAACTTAAAAATAAATTGTGATTGCCTAGGAATCCCAGAGCTGCATATACCTTCCTGCGAACCGCTGGTTCTTCCTGAGGTGGTGATGAACCAAGGGAGAGGTTCTGTAACAGTTCAGAGCAGGTACACCGATCTACACATCTACGGTCCTACCGACTTCAAACTCCACCAAGTGAAGTGAGTTTTATTGATTTTATTTTTATTTATTCATTTGATAATAATTTGACCATAAACATGTCAATTTAAATAAATTATTAAATATTATGACGTAAGACTCTAAATATGTTAACTTTGAAGGATATTCCCATCCACAACATCTAGTGGTAAATTGAGTTTTATTAAAAAGATAGATGACTTGTTTTAATTATTATTTAATTTGTAACATTAAAGAAATAAATGTTTTCTTAATAATCTAAGAAACGTACAATATATATATATATATATATATATATATATATATATATATATATATATATATATATATATATATATTTATTTATTTATTTATTTTGGTATTAGAGACCACATAGAATTACAAGCCTCTTCCACCATTGCCTGTCTTGGTCTGTTTCTTTCCATGTATCTGTACACAGCTCTATTACGTCTTTGTAGATTCTATCTATCCATCTGCTTTTTGGATTGCTACGAGCTACATGCCACACTTAACCTCCGTGCCTTCATATTATGGGATATTGATTGACTAGTTTCTGTAAGCATTTCTTTATTGGTCTTTCTTCTCCATGTGTAAGTACTCTGATCCCAAATCGCTCCGGTTATCGTGCAGAGGATTTTTCTCCTAAAACTTTCAACACTATTTTCTAAGGTGCTGGTTAGTGTCCAAGTCTCACATATATTAGAACTGGTGTTATCATAGCATTCGGGATTTCAATACCTTTGAAAGGGAGAAGAAAGCTCTGAATGCGCTTACAAAATGTATACATATTATAAAAAATAAACATAAATTATTAGATGTTTTTCTTGTTTGTTTTTTAATATAATCAAATTGCTCAAGATACAACTTTTAAAACTAAAACTATTAGTTCTATATTTTTTTATTGAATTAAATTTATTTCATGAAAATTTTAAATTAAATAAAATATTTCAATCCGCGCTACAGACTAATTCTTATCAAATTATTAACACTCGTCTGAAAATTCGTGAATGGCTTTCAATAGGTTCGACTTACAATTTTTTATTATTAAAATTCTCAAAAATGGGGTGTTTTCAATCTGGATATCGTTAAACACGTCAATTTAATGGCGTACTATAAAGTCATAAACAGTCATTATCCCACTAGATTCTTGATATTTATTACTAAACCGAGACCCGTTTGGAGTAACCTCCACCCCCAATACATCAGGATAAAGAGGTTATGAAGGCCGAACAGCCCAGTATTGTTGTAGGCCACCATTTTAATCAAACTTAATTCAAAAGTGATCAAATTATCTCATTCTTAGGTTTATTCCTTTCCCGAACCTTAATAACCAAAAATCCATGTTAACTTCTTGATTTGCTTACTCCTAGTTCCTCTGTTCATTCGTTGAACACGAGATCCAAGTCCATAAAACTATTTATTCCCCCTCACAGAACCATTTCCTTTAAAAATTCGTTTGTGAGCGTACTGCCATTTTTTGGAATTTCTTACCTACCTCCATACGCAAATTCTCTATCTTAACCTCATTTAATCATCATTTATTCTTCCACCACCTCAGCAATCAACCTTCCATATAGGGTAAGAATAAAATTTTTGTATTTAAGATCTATTTTCTTCATTTGACTGTAATCTTACAGTTACTTACATATTGTCAATATTGCTAATTAGTATAAATATACGAACAAACTCATATATATTTATGTAGAATTAAATATGTTTACTTGTGTTTTGTTTATTTTATTTTTGAGGTCAGATTATTATGTTATCTAATTATTTGATTTTTTTCTAATACCAGACAAATGTCATGTTTCTGTTCATTATAACTATACTTCTGGGTCTAAATGTCCCAGGATAAAATATATTTTTCGTTCTTCTTTCCTTCTTTCTTCCTTACATTAAATTGCCAAAGTTTACTGACCTTCAGATTGAAAACGTCCCTTATCTGTAAGTTTTCGTGAATGAAAAAAGATGTAGGTTATTAATACTTTATTTTTCATAAATAATTCAAATAGAAAATTATAGAAACGTATATAAATAATAATAATGATTACAAACGTCTTTATCTTCAAAATAAATATTCCTATTTGTACAACAACATTTATATCATGCTAAAATCGAAGATTTGCAAATGAATAAAATAATAATTTAACCTAAATAAAAATTTAAGCTTTCTATTGAGGCCAGAAAATGTCGGTTTGTAATAATCCGTATTTCCTTTACCAATTGTAATACATTAAATCGTTCAATTAAATGAACAAATAAATTATATATATATATATATATATATATATATATATATATATATTATATTATTTTATATATTCCAAAAATTTGATTGACAATTCTCTCTTTCTACATTACTCCATGTGTTCCAGGGTGGATCTGGATAAAGATAGAGTTAAGATAAAGCTCTCGATTCCCAAACTGCGAACTAAAGGCAATTACACGATTTCCGGGAGGATCTTGATGCTACCTATTTCTGGAAGTGGAGAAAGCAGGGGAAACTACTGTAAGTACGCTAGAGCTATTGCCAAAATAGTTGACCTTTAGGAGTAGTATTGTGAAAGGTTTTGTGGACCTGGCTTGGATACCCGATGGCGTCAGACCATTCTTATACAGGCGAACAATACGTGTCAGAATATCACACCATCCATCAATGGATTTCGAAATGGTGATGGGCACGCCCTGGGTGACAACAAAGTTTATCAAAAGCATATCTAATAACAAAATAACAACAATAAACAATAGAAGGAAATATTAAAAAATTGTCAGTTAATACGCTATAATAAAACAAAAATATTTAATAGTTCTTATATGATTGCAAAAACCAATGAGATGTTAAGAGTTTTGAAGACGTTGGAAGAAAATAAATAAAAAATTAATCTTACGATTTCAAATCCAAGAGCTTCTTTGGTAGATGAATTAGAACCATGCATTATTTTTTAATATTAGAATTTATTAATCTAGACTAACAAAGAAAGCTTTCTTAGGGAAAATGCATCTTAACTTACAACCCGAAACCTAATTATAAAATTGTATTTTTCCTGACGATAAATGGACATCTTATATAATTAAAGTTGAATAAAAGAAAAAAAAAAACCTGTAAAACTACAGACCATGAAGGGTCTTGGGATCAGTACTATTTAGAGAAAGTGCTGTTTCTTGGACAACGGTTATGCAAGGAGATGATTTGACAGAGATAACGCTCAACAGTCAGGTATTTCCTCTTAATCAATTATTTAATCAAAGATGTCCACTTCATAGAGGCTGAGTGTGCCCCTGTAGGGTCTCCTGATCCCAAGGTCGCCCCACGGCTGATGAAACATAATAAATAGATTTGCGGCTATAAGTCGGGATTTGAACCTGGGACCTTGAGCAATGGAGGATAAGTGCTAAAGCAGAATTAATTATTTTAAAAAAAATGATGAGAACATTTAACAAAAATGACTGAATTGGTTTGGACAATAAAAAATAATGCATGAAAGAAAATAAAAAATTGATATATATTATATTTCACGAATGAGAAATATTAGAATCTACCTAGACGAGAAATAGAGGTATAGAAATGGATGAATGTACAGTCACGGACATAGAAATGGCACCACATTTTTCTTTTGATTTTTATGTTGATTACGTTGATTCCATTGAATGTTTTTATTTCTCATTACTTTATTTAATTTACAAGAAAACTTTAACGTTTTTCAATTAAGTTTTAACTAATGCAAGAATAAAACATGTTATTATGACCAGTTTCAAAAAACTGTCCTCGTCAGAAAATATTAAAATAGTGACGCGACATGAAGTGAAGGAATTTTAACGGGAAGTAGTAATGACGAAAGTCTTAGTTTTGAAAAAATAAAAAATAAAATAGGCATCATGGAGTGAAAGAAAGAAATTTCGAGGAGAAAAAAACAAACGAATAATTTGACCGCTTAATGGTGCGATTGTTTTTAGAATACCGTTTCAAAAGTGGCAAAGAAATATCCGGAGATCTTGCAGATAGTAATCTGGTAAATTAAAAAAAAAAAATAACATTTTTACTGGGTGATGTAATTTCTATAATGGGGTGTAAAAAAAAAAAATAAAGATGAGGCATAGGCATGTAAATACTGCAAAGAATTCATAAAATTAAGGTAATGAAAGTCCAATGATTTAGTAGGAAATTCTGTGGCTAAAAAAATAAGACAATAGAATAGAATAGAAGAATCAACTTTATTCTGGGACAAAGCCCCTTGAGAATAACAATGTTGTACATAAAGATATACATAACATCTGGCCAAAACGCATGTTCCAATAAAAAAAAAAGAACTAAAAAATAAGTAATAACAGAAGTATTTACATAACTAGACAGATATATTAAAGACAGAATATGAGCAATAAGGTCCTAATACTGCAAAATAGTTCCTACAAACAATAAACTATGGAATTCTAAATGAAATTTGAAATGAACGACAAATTACTTTTGTTGTCATACCATTGTATTAATGAAAAAAATAATAATAAAAGAGTGGATAAAAATTTTGTTTTAAATAATTTACATATGTACCTTAGTATGTTCAAAGAATACAATAACAGTATTGTAAACATTATACAAGTTCTATATAATCTAAATCCTAAGATGTGGGTTTATCGGAGAAAATAAAAGATAATATACATATAGAGGAGATTATATACATATATAATATACATGATAAATGTCTACCCAGCGTCTGATTTAATTGTAAGGAGGAATTGGAATAAGAGGGTTTTAAATATGGATAAGGATGGTGCATGGCGGATTTTAAGTGGGAATTCCAAAAGGTGGTGGAGCGGACAATAAAGGAGTATAGAAATGAGGCCGATTAGTAGAAAGGGGTATAAAGGTCAGAAGGACGAGATCTTGTGGAGAGGGAGTGGATAGATGCAATAAATAAGAAAAAGTATTTTTAAACTGTTTATCACGGATGTGTTATAAATTGATGAAATGAATTATTTATTTTTGAAAAAAATATTGAGTTAGTAACTTCCAGAATAATCAGTATTTACACCAGAAGGCAGGATGACATGACAATGCCCCAGTGAGGCCTGACATTGGTAGGTGACGTGCATTGGTAAACCTACGCCCGAGTTGGCCAGCTACTGGAAGCCTTGATGGAATGTTGAACAGCGCTTGTCGCAACAACACGATTTCCAAACAAGAACCATTGTCAACTTGTTTGGTAATTCTCGATTCTGCCGCTAGGTGATGCACCTGCTCGATAATGTTGTGAAAGGTCCGGATTTAATCCTGTTAATTACTGTTACACACCCGTCTTGAAAGTTGTAGCTCAACTTAAGCCAATTTTATTAGCCACTAAAGAAAACTTACTGTAAGGAAAAAACAGTGGTTTCAACATTTTAGCAAGAACCAATTCGTACAGTGATTGAAGCTAAAACTTTAAGAGTTAGAAAACATTTTTTAACAACAGAAACAGTTTTAATATAAACTGGTATTGGAATCAATCGGCCTACAATTTCTGTCACTTGGGAATATTTATTGCCAAAAATTATATGTTTACTGAGCTGTAATGTTTTGAAAAACATTTTTGAATCCGCGGGCACAACCAAATGAATAGAAAACTTGACACTTTAATGTTTCAACTCATAACTACAAATTTAAGGAGTCATAAAATTAGGTTATATATATTCGACTTGGTAGCAATTTGCAAGTTTCAAGTCGTTGCAGCCTTCTTTTCATTTTTATTTTTTTTGGAAATTCTGTATTGAGATACATTACAATATGTCACATCTTGGTACAATAGTAATAGTAATAAAGAGTAGCTCCTTCACAATATGTACAATAAATACACAGCAAAATAATAATACTAAAAGTATTACACTTACCAAACAATAACAAGCAACCAAAAGTAGAATACATATCTTATTTAGATTGGCTTGCATAAGCTTGAATTTATTTATGTAAGGTTAGCCAATATATATTTACAATTTAGAAAGCTCTTCCAGACGTTGAAACAGCAAGTAGCAAGCTTGTAATGACTCACGCGAGTATAGTTATAGTTCGAGCTAAAGTTCCTTTTATTAATCTTTATGTGAAATATTTTTTTATTATACTCAGCTCGTTAAAGCAATAAAATATTTCAAATTATAACGAAATTGCACATAAACCTATTATTATCAATAAGACGTTTATTAATAGTAATTTGATAGAGCAAAGATTAATAAACCAAATAATATTCAATTTTAAATTATATAACCAATTTCTTACATATGAACAAAGTAAATTATTTATTACTAATTTTATAAAATAGGAACGTAGAAAGGTTTGACCGAACATGGTTCAGATATGATAAGACACTTTTAAAACAGTGAAGCGACTTGCTTAATATTTTTAGTTTACAGCACAGAATATACCTGTCACTGTAAAAACGATCGTTTTAAGAAACTTTTTTTATATAAGATAAGATTTTTTTATATGATCAACTATTATTATGATATAATTACAAAAATAATATTTAAAATGTATCTTATAATTATTTAAGAACATTTTTTTAAAAAATCATGTTTTGACGAACAGCAAACATAGAGGCAACAGCGCTCATACAGGCAGAAAGAATAAAAAAAGATAACAAGACCTACATTCACGTTCAAGACTTCTTCGTCGACTTCACCATAGGGCACGCCGCGGTACACCTCAGCAATCTCTTCGACGGGGACAAACAACTCGGTAATATCTGTTTATTCCATCGTATAACTAGATAAATTAGTAATCACTGAGATATTATAAAAAATATTCTAACTATTTCAGGGGACGCAATGAACGAATTTCTGAACGATAACTGGAAGAACGTCGCACAGGAGATGAAGCCTGTTTTGGAAAAGACAATCGGAGATCTGTTTAAGAAATTTGCTAACAGGATTTACAACACGTATCCCATGGATGTCTTACTACCACTTTCCAAATCGAAATAAATGTATTAGTTTTTTTTGTTATTTTAATTTTATTTTTGTACTTTTATATAAAACATCACAAACATTTTAATTTTTTTTTTATCTCACCCATTACATATGAAATATTTTTAAAACAAAGATATAAACTATATACTTCATAACAAGAGAAACACAAGTCATCAATACCAGCAAAACCAATTTTTTTTATAACGAACAATATATATATATATATATATATATATATATATATATATATATATATATATATATATATATACATAAATTATGAAATTTTGATTAAATATTTCTATTTTACTTAATATATTTAAAAATATATATTTTTAAGAGGTACTTAAAGATATTTATACTATGGTAAGTTGTTTTGTAGGCTTCTTGACATATTAAAAAAAATATAATAAACTAATAAAAAAGAAAATGTAACACTATAACCCAAGAAAGGTATTTGTTTTTAGTAAAGAAGACTCTTTCTAGTTCAAAGATTATATAAGTTGATGACTTGACCAAGACAAGGCTAAATCCCATGGCTGGTTGTACCCCAGGAGTGTCGATTTACATAATAAATTATTACTCGTCATAACTAGACTCAAATCTAGGACCTGAGGAATAAGAAGACCTTACTCACTAAGCTACTTTGTTCACTTAGCAATAAAATATTTCAATTTATAATGACATTACACACTGAACTATATCGCTATTATTATCATTATTAGAATATTCGCTTTGAGAATTATTCAGAATTCAGAAGTAAACCATTTTCATAATGTATTGATTGTGTAAATTTAAATGTTTTTTTTTCTGAGGAAATATTTTTTGTTTATATATATATATATACATATATATAAGTATCAAATCTACAGTTAAAGAATACACACTGGGTTTTTTCTAGCTAGTGCTGTCCAAAATATTGCACTTCACAAGACCAAGGCCGTCTAACTGTTGCAAGACCAAGACCAGGACTATTAAAAAAAATCGATTTTTTGAATAAAAATTATGGCAAAATAGTTACTAATGCTTGATAATTTTAGTTACTATATGTAAAGAATTGGTTTAGCCAATATACTTCTGCATTTAACTCTTCTAATTTTTCATACAGACTTAGTTATGTTTCCGCTATCTAAAACAATACAGTAATATCTGTATAGTACAAAGCTAATAGGAGTGGTTAGGGGGATAAATTTAGGGGTGGTTAAAAAATTATAACAATATCTCTATATTAATAAGCTAATAAGTAACTGCAAGACTGTTGCGAGACTCTAGCGCAAGACCAAGACCATGAACAAGACTGAGTTTGCAAGACCAAGACTTGTCTCCGTCTCGCATTTGGGCAGATAAAGTTTTAATTATTTAAATCGAAGCTCATTTGGAGGTGCTAACAGATTTTTCAACCTTCAAAGCACCATATTTCTAGACCTCCTCAGATTTGCTATGCCGTAAGAAATAGCACCTCACCTTCTTTATGAAAACACACCTAAACTCCTTCACAGTCTTAAGGTATTGGGCTTGTCGTAAGCGGAAATGTTTCACATCCGCAAAAAAACTTTTGAAAGTATATAATATATTCTTGAATTTTATTTCTTATATTTAGATAGGGCAGAACCTAGATACAATTTTTTTTATTTATGTAATATGTTATTAACCATTTGTTGCATTTTAATTGCATATTGCGAGACCTAATTCTTATCAAGCTTCCGCTAGTGTTGTATTTAATCAATATTTTTCACATCTTCTCTCAACAACACCGAATTAAATGGACTTTAACAAAAACGATTTTTGATACATTGAGATCATTAAAAGACTTTATTGAATATTTGAATTTTCCTATCACTTATAATAAAATTATTGTAAGATACAATTTCATTATTTGACTGTATATGTAAGCAGCAAAGAATATATTTCACAACATTTGTCGCTTTAGGTCATGGAAAAGTATTAGATCTCTCTTCTTTCATTTTTAAATCTGTATGCAGCGTGTATTGTTGGAAAACCTAAACAGGACAACCGAGCAGTTTGTATGCCCTCCATCATTGGCAATACTAAATTCCGATATAGACTGCTGAAGTTTATGCTTTCGCTACCTGTTTCTATATATAAATACACACACATATTCATCATGCAAAAATGTCATATCTATCAAATCCTCATTTTATCATAAATATCAACTATTGGATAAGCAGTTCAATAAAAGGAATGAAATTATGGTTTATGCAAGTAAGTGATATAAGATTATTAAGGAAGTGAAAGGGATTTTTGTTTTGGTTGTTTTAATAATATGCAAAATCTATTTAGGTCAGAATCTCTAAAACTGTGGTATTTGGGCAAGGAAAAATCGCGTCAAATAAGATTTGACATTTTTTAAAATTAATACGGAATGTATCGATTACAAGATAAATAAACACGATCTACGATTAATTAAATTACCTACCATGACTGCAGTAATAAAGATGAAAAAACTCAGTGTTGAAGAGGGCTTAGAAATCAATTCGAGCTTCAACCAAGTCCAAGATTGATGCTCTGATATCAAATAATGGTTATAACTGAAAAATATTTATTTTCGCAATGTTGGAATTTCTTCCTATTGATGTACTCATTTCATTTGTAGAATTTTCGACTTATTTCCTGCATATTTAATGTTGCAGTTATGTGAAATCGAGAGCCTTCCGTTTTCGTAACTTCATTTTAGATTTATTATTTTCTAAAAAAAAAAAAAAAATTAATATAATATTTGATATTTTGTTTGTTAAATATATTTCATTTTTGAGAGTGTAAATAAGTTTGTTTTTCATTTATAATGAAGAACTAAATATTGATATAAAAAGACCTCAGGTATTACGGCCCAATCATCTGAAAAGTGGAAGTAGAACTATAATTCATTTATAACAAATATAATATTTTTTTTAAAATTTAAGTTGCATATTTTTTTTTAATCTGTCCTTTACAAGGTATTTAACGATGTTTTGAAAGAACGGCTTGACCGATTTTTGTGTTAGATGGCTCAAAATACAAAATGAGATCCCGTGATTGTTTTGAAACAATTTGACCATAAAAAATTAATAAATATATATTTTTTTATTTTAATTATTCTTGATTTTGTGTAGATTTCATGTCGTGCAATGCGCATGATCATGAATTCAAATTGTTAAGACTTGAAAAACGTTAAAATAAAAAATAATTAACTTTTTTTTTAAATATAAAGGAAATAGTTCTATCCGTCCTAAGAGCCGAATGCACTTGCATATCTGCCTTAAAACATCAATGGGTTGATAATTATTTATTATTATTTAGCCTTTGAAGGTAGCAGCAAATATGAGATCTCATATTGAGACAATATATTTTTTTAACGTTTCGGAGGTTTATCCACATTATCGAAAATTGCTTATTAATTATTTTATTTGAGTTAAACAAATGACCTGTAGAGATTTGTTTTTTATTTTTATGGTTTCACCATAGAGTACCAAGGACAGAAATAATAATTATTCTAATTTATTGTACATAGGGTATGAATGTGCTCATGGAACACAATTATAAATGTCATTAATTGAAACTGATTGTAATATTTCTTAATAAACATTCTCTAAAAAAAAAAATATTTTATTGTAATACTATGCAAGATAATCTGCAGAAAGCCCCCGAAATGTTAACTAATAAATATATTATATTAGAACATCATATTTTTAATACCTTCAAAAATTATATTCCAGAAATGTTACGAAACAAGACGAAAAGTGTTATTTCCATAGTCGATTGTTTTTTAAAATTAATTTTATTTTAACCATTCTAAGTAATAAATGGACGCAATAACTTCCTACTCTACAGATTAGTAAGCAATCTTCCGCATTTCAAACTATGCTACAGTTGACAATTACTAAAGTGCATCTCTTTAAACGTAGAACTCCTTTTGAGCCGACATGATCTGAGTACGGTTAAATGATGATAATTTTATTTTGGACTACTTATCTAAGTTAGTTTGCACGCTTAATCTTATATTACTCCAGCATCTGATGCAGTTTCAACACATAGACAGACTTCCTGGGAAATAGGAATGCACAGTGAGCAAACTGCATCCAACTGGTTGAGCCCGACTATAGGAGTGTCCACTCCACATTGCGAAACCCCACGATGTGCAACTATCTAATGAAAAGTAGTAATTTGAGAGGTTAAGAAACTTGAAAATTTGTAAATACACACGGATTACTGACCCAGCTATGCGAGCTGACAATCTTGTTATTCTGGATTCGTCAGGTCAAAAATGCAAATCGAAAAATATATAGTCGGCTTCACCTTATGAAACTCCTATTCCGGATTATTCCATACAAGTTGGCTAATATATACATTAATGATTTGGAACTCTAAAATACATATATATGAGGACTATGTTTTATTGATGATGTCGATATAAAAAACGACAAAAATGTATTTATTTCAATAAAACATTACATCTTACCCATTAAAAACTGCACTTTATTAACTCCGATGATAAAACTTTGGATGTTTCCGATGCTAACATTGCATCAGGCTCCTAAATTGCGAATTCTGGACGATTCTAAGAAATAAGAAAAGGTAGACACAGGAGAAAGCAAGTAGTTTTCTCTTTTAGTTTTGCAACTTTAAAACATTATGCAACTGAATTGTTTTTTTTATCTCTCATAAAAAGAAAAGGTGTAATAAAACAGATTAAATTACAGTTTTAACTTAATAAATTATAAAGAGAATATCTTTAATTTATTGCAAAAAGTGATTAAGTCATATTTCATGACCATAAATCACTATGAACATTGATGAAGTTTTCCTTTGGAAATAAAAGAAATGAGCAATCGGTACATAAAATGTTTTGTATTATTTTAAGCAGTGCTTGAAATCTATAATTAAAAATATCTGGTGGGCGCAACACACAACTTTCACTTACCGTTCAACTTGAAAAGAAATTATTTTCTGGCCGTGTTTGGCTATTATAAAATTTTTGAATTGCATATTTAATCGAACTAAAGCTAAAAGCTTATTAT